TTTATTATATATTTTTATTATTATTTTATGTAAAAAATAAAAATTAATTTTAGTTTTATTAAAATATTTTTTATAATATTAATAATGAAAATAAAATTTATTTTTTAATATAAATTAATGATAAAAAAATATAATAAAAATACTTTTAACTTTTGTTTTGAAAAAATTATAACCTTATAAAACATAATTGTTGGTACAATTTTGTACCGATTAATACCGTCGTCGGTATGTATCAGTTTTTACATTAAGTATAATACTCAAATTCATTTTCAAAATATAAGGTGGGAATGGATCCACCATGAACAAAAAAAAAAAAAAATTCATTTATAAAGTTTTTAATTTAGATAAATCATTTTAAATTTAATGTGTAATATTATTTAATGTCAATAATTTATTAATTTGACATCATTTTACGTCAACAATACGTTATTAACGACATGATAAATTAATTTGGATTTTTAATTAATTGACAACTTTGTTATAAACTCACAATAATAATATATGACGAACCACAATATGTATACAGTTTGAAAATTGCAACTACATCTATATAATAGGAGTAATTAATTTTATTGGTCTAAATAAAATAACATCAAAATTCAAAAACAAATTAGTCATCCTCCAAGCAACGCCGTGAACGCCGCCGCAACGACGTTAGCAAACCGCCGTTAACAAATCCTATGCACAAAAAAATTGTGAAAAGATCAGAAACACCGAGACTAGTGTATATAAAAGAAGATCATAAGCCGAGCAGACAGAAGGAAAAGAAAAAGAAAAAGAAAAAAAACCAGAGAGATCAGTTTCTTCTTCGACCAAAACCTCTTTCGTTCGCCGCACTGTTTCTTCCCTTTAGAAAAGGATAACAAAGAGAAAGATCCGGGATTTTTCCCGGCAGGAATTCGAAGGAGATTCTCGCTGCATTTCTCATCTTCTAAATCAATTTTCCTGCGTTTGGTTTTTGTAGATTGAATTCTGTTTAGTTTACTCTGAAGCAGGATTCAGAAAACAATTTGCACGTCGAATTCTTCTCAGATCAGATCAGAGAAGGTACGCTTATGTGTTCAACTGTTTTTCTCAATTTGATCTTCTTCTTGTTACGCACGTTTTTTGACTTACGGTTGCTCTTGTTTGTTCAGAATTTTTTTTACTAGAACTATGCGCAATCAATTGAATTTCGTTTAAAATTGTTTCTGAAAGAATTATTCCGGTTACAGAATCGCGGTTGCATCTTGCGTTTGGAATCGGAAGGTCGGAATTCTTACTACCGGTGTCTGAATTTTTTAGCGGAAGATATTTATTTTAAATCTGTGGAGCAAAAAACCAGGGGATTTCTTTTGGAGATTTAAAATTCTGCTGAATTATTGTTGTGAATTTCAAAATCTGAGGTTAACTGTCGAAAGAGTCTCCGGTTCCGGATTCACAACTTAATGCGCCTCCGATCTCAGGCGGAATCGTAATATCTCCAAGGAAAACTCATTTTTCTGGCGGATCTTAATTCCCTTCCAGAATTCTACAATTTTTCTCCAGCCATCAAATTCAAATCCTGAATTCTGATTCGAACTAGAATTCGAAATTTTCTGTTCAAAATATATTTCGGCCGACTATGGAACTTCCGCAATCCTGTCCCTTAAGAACCGAAGGTACTTAAAAATTTTTTTTTTTTTTTTAACAAAATGAAATTTGAAGAGATAAAATTTTAGAAGTGAAAATGAAAATTATGTTTTGTTTATGTTGCAGCAGGAAGAAAACCAACACATGACTTTCTGTCACTCTACAGTCATTCAACTGTTCAGCAAGATCCAAGGCCACCTTCTCAAGGTAATTTCATTCATTCCTCTCTTTTCCAATCTCCATTCAATCTTTTTTAAGATCCAAATGAAAATAAAAGAAAAATAAAAAAACCTGTTTGTTGTTTTCTGTGCTACTTGTCCTTTTCCTCTTTCCCTTTTTCTTTCTTCAATTTTACTTGATTATTCTGTTTATATGGAGGTAATTACATTTTTGAAAAAGAAAGGATAAAATATCCCTTTTTTAAATAATAATAATAATAATTAATAGGAGTAGGGGAGTTGAATGAGGAAAAAAGAATTGTTTAATTTAGATTACATTAAATTATATAATAGTAATTATTGGGAGAGGTAAATTCAAAATTAAAGAATTTTTTAATAATTTTATTTAATATTTTAATTTTATCGTTTAAATTATAAAATAATTTTTTTAAAGTTAGTGACATAATTAAAAAAAAAAGAAAAAAAAAAGAGAGGCTCTTTTGAGAAGGTGTCACGTGAGTGCAGTTTTCCTTTTTGAATCATTGGATCTTGGGCAGTTGGGCCAAATGGGCCATGCTAGAAATAGGCTGGGAAAAATCCGAAAAGGAAAGGATTAGCAGTTAGCCATTAGGGCCATCAGAGAGGCACGGGGATGAAGAGGGAGGCTTTTTTTTTTTTAGGTGGGGCCCATATGGGGTTGGGGGAAATGGACATGATTTTGACATGTCACATGATTTGGATCAGGCCGTTCAGGAGCCGATGTCTTGTGGACAGGCACGCGCGATAGAGTGTTATTATTATATTACTGGGTTTCCCCCAAAAAAATTTAATTTTTAATGATTAGGACTTTTTTTTTTTTTTAATTATACCATGAAATTTATCCTTCAATATTAAGTCTCAACAATAGTTAGGTTTTAGAATTTAAGGAATCAGTAATGTGTTTCACGTGAAATGGGACTTAAGATGGTGACGGGGACAGGTCAAAAACCTTAACTTTGAAGCAAACTTTAAGAATTTTAAGCTTAATTGGTTAATGGGTTTGTTTAAGGTACAAGTTAACATGTAATAAATATAAATTTTTTATAATTAATCTATATAAAAATATAAAAATTAATTTTTATTTTAATGTTACTGTTATGTTAATAATTTTAATTAATCAATTAATTAAATTAAAATTAATTTTTATTATTTTTATATTTATTAATTATAAAAAATATATATTTATGGTGCTTTTATCTAATATCTTAAAGATTCTGAATAAAAAATTCCTTGATGTTAATTACTATTGTTATAAAAACGACTTAATTATATATGTGTGTGATGATCCGTTATATAATAAATAATAATTAATTAGTCTCATGCTTTCTTACTTGGATTTATACCAGAACTTAAAATAGAAATTATTAAGTAAGAAAAAATTCATTTAACTCTCTCTATCTTGTCTTGTATACGTGCTGCACAACAGTTTTTCAATAATTAATTTAATCTGATCTGTGTATTTTAACATGTCTAACAAAGCAGGTGCGTACCTCCAAACTCATGACTTCCTGAAACCACTGGAGCGGGTAGGGAAAACAGGTGCAAAGGAAGAGGCCCAAGTTGAGGTATCAACGGCTGAAAAGCGACCACCTTCGGCACCATCTCCTTGTGTGGAACACGTCCTCCCTGGTGGAATTGGAACTTACAGTATAAGCCATATTTCCCATTTTACTCCTAGGGTTCCAAAACCTGAGGGGACAATATTCACGGTGGCTCAAGCAAGTAGCACTCATGAGAGAAATGATGAGAATTCCAACTGCAGTTCTTATAGTGGCAGTGGATTCAGTTTGTGGGAGGAATCTGCTGCAAAGAAGGGAAAGACAGGGAAGGAGAATGCGGAAGGGTCCGCTTTTATAAGAGGTAAAATCCTTTCTGTCCGCAGTTTATATACTTCCCATGTATTTCTTTCGTGTTTGCAATTTGCATGCACACGCAATGCAAAGTCAGTCATTCTCATATATATGATCTGTAGGTCTCATTTTTAGCATATCCACCCATTTATGAAACATAATGATGAATTAACTAGGAAATTCTCAAAGACATGAACATTTCCCCTCTCACAAGGTTGAACATTTCTCTATGTTGGAATTTGCTGTATAAGTATCTAACCTAAAACTAATTTATTAAAATATGTGAAATAACTCAACATATTAGTTGATGTAATAAAATCAAGATTATGATATGAATCCCATCTCATGTTTCCCGAAATAAATTAGAGCATGGCTTGTGTTAAATTGTGCGCTTAGGCCGTATCAATACCAGGTCCATTCGGACTGTTTAAATGCTAACTTCTTTTCGGCGTTTGATTTTAACAGACGGAGCGGGAAAAGTAGGTCCATGGACGGCGTCGCTGGAGAGAGGTTCACAATCGTCAACGAACAACCACCGTAACAGCTTCAGCTCTCTATCTTCCTCGCAGTGAGTCGTTTTTCGTTTTCCTCTCTCTGGTTCTTTTATTCTTCCTTGTGGGTCAAGGTCTAAGAAACACCCGAATATGATTTAATTTCAAAGTTGGTATTTTGCGTTTCTCCAGACCATCATCGGGTCAGAAGAGCCAGAGCTTTATAGAGATGATAAAATCAGCTAAGGCTAATTCCCAGGATGAAGATTTAGACGAAGATGAAGATTTTCATCTCAAGAAAGAGTCTTCTATTACCACCACCATCAATACCCATAGTAAAGGTATCTTCTCTTTATCCTCCTAGTGAAATGCGAATTCGCCAGTATGTCTTGGGCATATACTAGAATTCATGGAATATTGTTTATTGGCTTAATTTTTAGTAGCAGTACTTCATTCCAGATTTTCTTAGGAGGTTTAGTATGTTACAGGAGAATTGAGAGTCAGAGTAGATGGCAAGAGCGCTCCTGATCAGAAGGCAAATACCCCACGCTCAAAACATTCTGCCACTGAGCAGCGCAGGAGGAGTAAAATTAACGACAGGCAAGTATAAACTGCCCATCTATTGAATATCTAGCAATATCTTTCCTCTTGATTTGATGTTTCTTCTGTCTTAGTTTGTGATCAAATGTCAAGGTCTGAATGCTTGTTTTCTCTGAGTTCCTTCAGTAGTGTGTTTTGAATTGGAAATCTTATGCTTTGCTTTGTCTGGATACCTTTTTGTTTTGTCCAAAAAATATCTATACAACATTTTTTTTTCTTCACTTGATGCTACTGAAAGAGGTCTAAGTGCTTCTAAAATATTGTCTCAGAAGAAACTACCATGCAACGTTCTATGCCCCAAATAGATTGATTAGTAGCACGAAGGACGTTTGAGCAATTATTGTTGTCCAAAAATTTCTGCCTGGAAGTGAAATCGCTGATGAGTTACTAAAATTTTTATACTTTACTTATGATCATCATCTAGGGATTAAATTTTATCTGTTCTTCTGCAGATTTCAGATGTTGAGAGAGATCATTCCTCATAGCGATCAAAAGAGGGATAAGGCTTCCTTCTTATTAGAGGTAATCCTTCATAGTTATTTATTCTATTCTCCACCTTATAATTTTCAAAATTTTGAACAAATGGGGTAACACACCTTTTTGCAGGTTATTGAGTACATTCAATTCTTACAAGAAAAAGTACACAAGTATGAGGGATCATATCAAGGATGGAGTCATGAACCAGGGAAATTGATGCCATGGGTAAATCCTTTACTTGTTTCTGTCCATCAAGGAGGCAGTATAGGCAATAATTAATAGTCGATCATCAATTTTATTCTGCAACAGAGAAACAACCACAAGATTGTAGAGAGTTATGCTGATCAATCTCGAGTGATAAATACCGGGTCTTCTCCTGCATTAGTTTTTTCTTCCAAGCTTGATGAGAAAAACATCACCGTTTCTCCAACCATTCTTGGAAGTGCACATAACCCTGTAGATTCTGACATGAGCCAAGCTGCTTCTTTCAAAGCAATGGACCACTGTCCTGGCTTGACAAACAAGCCAATGCCCTTCCCTGTCTCACTACAGCCAGACTTTTTCACCTCTGCCCAAAGTAGCGGTGCAGCAACTCAACTACCACCGAGACTGGCATCTAATACAGAGAATGCGTGTCAGTCCCAACCTGTATTATGTCACACTGGAACATGTACGAGGAGTGGCACTGTTACTAGTGACAAGCTGAAAGAAAATGAACTGACAATTGAAGGGGGAACAATTAACATCTCAAGTGTGTACTCCCAAGGGTGAGCTTCTGCTGCCTTCTTTAAAGACTTGGTTAATTAATACTTCTCCAATTGCTTTATTTTGTTTATGCATGTTTTTGAAGAACTTTGGTTTACTAACCTACAGATCATTTTTATGGCATCACATGTTAATTAGCTAATCGGCCATGGTGTTCACAGGTTGTTAAATACACTAACAAAAGCACTGCAGAGTTGTGGAGTGGATTTGTCACAAGCTAGCATCTCAGTGCAGATTGATCTTGGAAAACAGTCTTCTAGTAGGCCTACTGCTTCAACATCCACACTTAAGGTTGTTGACAATGCCATTTCCGTTCTAAATTTTGTCAACTTTGACCGTCATGAAGAATCAATAACTAATTCCTTTCTATTTATTATGCTCTAGGATAATGAAGTTTGCACAATCAATCAAGGGATGATGCGTTCTAGAGTTTCTAGTGGTGAAGATTCTGAACAAGCCCTGAAGAAGCTCAAGACAGGAAAAAGCTAGGATGAGCAATTTCACACCATTCTTTTTTTATTTAATTAATTCATTTTTTGAGTACCCTTCTCAATTATGGAGGGTTAACCCTTTGCCTAAGTTTGTAAACTACTTAGTCGAGAGATTAAGACCCATTGTACATCTAGTGGCTTTCCCAAGAAACAACCATGTATTATTAAGTTATTTCTTGTGTATTATTTATGGAGGCTTCCATTGTAATATTGAGAAGCTGCTTTTCACATAAGTTTTCTGTTGGTTACAATTTCTTACATTGACTTTTAGAGATTCAGACATCTTTACACAGAGATGATAGTTATGTCTGCATTTGAGTGACAAGGTTTTCAAACGTTTGTTCGCAATTCACTTTCGATTTAATTGGAAGTATACATGTCTTGCATTTGTGGCACAAGAAAGCTTTGATGGTAACATTGCCAATAGTAAGAGTGTTTTTTAACTTATGCCATATGGAAAAAATTAAAAATGCAATTATTATATTTTTTATATTAATTAGTATATATATATATATAAAGTGACCTTCATTTAAGCAATTATCAAAATTAAAATGATTTCTATAGCACTGATGGAATTAATAATACTTTTTATATTTTTTAATATTAATTAATACTAAAAAATATAATTGTTGTCTCCAAAATCTCCCTTTCTGGCCGCGTGGCAGATAAGACTGCGAAGGCGTGCCACTCACTTTGCTCAAAGTGAGAAAGAGGGATTCCCGGTGACCCTCACTACTTCCAAGCGTGGAACTCGGCTGCGAGTTGATGGAAGAGCACCGGTTAAATAAATTATGAGATGCGCCCTGGTCAGACGATTGTCGCAGAAACGGGGGTGCATTCCTGCATAAAGGTCCATAAATAATTGCCCTGGAAG